AGTATTATCTCTTTCAGTTTGGTAGAATTCACTTGCCATTTGGGCCTCAGCTTTACCCTGTGAGCAGTTTTTTGTTTTGTTTTGAAATTACAAATTTGATCTCTTATTATAGATCTGATTGGGTTGTCTATTTCTTATTGAATTAGTTACAGTAGTTTGTGTCTTTCTAGGAATTTATCCACTTCATCTGTTATATAATTTATTGGCATACAATTATATTACTTTATAATACTTTTTGCTTTAGTAATGTCAGTAGTAATATTCACTGTTTCACTTCTGATTCTAGTAATTCACGTCTTCCCTCTTTTTTTTCTTGGCTTATCTGACAACTTTGTCACTTGTGTTTGTTTCCAAAGAATCAGCTTTTTGTTTACTGTTTTTCTCTATTATTATTTTTCTCTTTAGTTTCTACTCTAACATATCATTTTCTCCCTTTTCCTTGCTTTAGACTTAGTATGCTATTCTTACCAACATCCGAAGGTAAAAGGTTAGATTATTGATTTGAGATCTTTCTTCTTTTTTAATAGAGACATTTGCATGTGAATTTCTCTCTAATTACCGTTTAGCTTCATCCCAAAAGTTTTGCCATGTTGTTTTCATTTTCATTCATTTCAAAGCATTTTCTAATTTTCCTTGTGATTTCTTCTTTGACCACTAGTTATTTGTTATTTAATTTCTACATTTTTGAGAGTTTCCCAAGTTTCTTCCTGTTATTTGTTTCTAATTTAATTCCACTATAGACAGACAACATACTTTGTTATTATTTATTCTTTAAAATTTATTACATTTGTTTTATGACCTAGCATATGCTATGTCCCTGAGAATGTTTCATGTGTACTGGAGAAAAGTGTATACTGCTGTGATGGGAAGACTATTCTAGAGATCATTGTCAGGTATAGTTGGTTGACAGTATTATTCAAATTATCTATTCCCTTTTGATTTCCTGTCTTGTTGTTCTATTCATTATTGAAAGAGGGTACTATAATCTCCATTTTTATTGTTGAACTGCCTATTTCTTCCTTCAACTCTCTGTTTTTGCTTCATGTAGTTTTGATGTTCTGTTGTTAGGTATGTATGTTTTTAATTGTTATATATTTCTCATGGATTGACCCCCTTATTCTTATTAAATTTTCTTTTTTATCTTTACTAACATTTTAAAGTCTATTTTGCCTGATGTTAGTATAGCGACTATAGCTTTGTTGCAATTGCTTCAAAACTCTGTTTGGAATTGTCAAAAGTTTCGATGGACAGTATGAGTCAGTATAGAACTTGCCTCTCTTTTCCTTTTTTTTTTTGGGGGGGGCACTTATATTTCAAATGAAATATTTCACTAATTGACAACATGCCCTTGAGTATTAAGGATGATCCATTGCATAAAGATGGAACTGTCTAGATGGAACTGTCTTCATGGGACTGGTTAATGAGTTTTTATCCTCTCCATTTCATCCTCAATAAATGAAATAATATTCATCCTCAATAAATGAAATAATATTCACCCTCAATAAATGAAGTAGTTTGTGTCTTTCTAGGAATTTACACATCTTTCTTAAAGTAACTAAGAATCCTCATGACTAGGACTTGGAGGTAAGGAAAATGAAAATTAAGGGAAAGGAAATCTGGGAAAAGTTTATAAAGATCATAAAAATGTAAATGTGCTAGAAAATAAGATATTTACTCTTGAACCCTTCTGAGTCAAAAATATCCTTAAATTTCAGGAGTCATTCATGTGCTCTGAACCCAGCAGTATTCCCAGGTGATGCCAGTAGGAAACAGAATAGAATAAGGATGGCATGCTGGGGCCCTGATGCTTCTTAATGTGCCCATGACTGCAGATTTCAAAAGGAAAAAACACATTTTAAAAATAGACATAATTCCATTCTGAGCAAGGGTCCCTGTTTGATCTTTCCCTGTGTCCAAGCACACTTCTTGTCCTGAAGGATAAGTGACAGTCCAGATACTCCCATTGGGTGAAAAAACCTCATATTCTATGCCAGTTTCCTGTTACTGCTTTGAGCTCTAAGAATTGCTACCCTCTGTGTGACCTTTACCTAGCTGTGTGTTGGCTTGCATCCCTGGTGACAGTGTGTCTGAGCTGCCAGTATACTGGCAATCTTTGGAGCAGGTCTTCCTCACTCGTTTAACAACCAGCCAATTTGGTCTCAGGAAACCACTCTGCAGTTGTAGCTGGGTTCAAAAGTCATTTTTAATTTTGTGACAAAAACAAATGTGCCCTACGGGAGTAGTAAGTGGTTTTACTGGTGATATTAATGGAACCATGACCTCTTCTGTATCTATGGTCCTACAAAACAAAATATGTTTGTATTATGTCAGACAAGTTCTTTCTTAGCCCTTCCTTGAAGCAACTGCAGAGGAAGTATACTATTAATAAGCCAGAGAGTAGTGGGGTGTGTGTGTGTGTGTGTGTGTGTGTGTCTACAGTCATAAGCTCATCTACAAACACAGTGGATTTATAATGACACCACTGTCATAAAAATCATGTGGTTTGAATTGTGTTTGAATGAACATAAATCACTGAAGTTCTGACATCTTTGAACAGAACTCTTATGGGCCCAGTGCTGAAACTGAAGTTGGCTTTTATTTTAATTACTTGCTTATTTATTTGCAGTACTGGGATGAAACCCAGGGGTACTTTACCACCCAGCTCTTTTTATTTTGAGACAGGATCTTCCTAAATTGTCCAAGCTGGATTGTAAGTTGAATTTTCGATCCTCCTACCTTAGCTTCCCAAGTAGCTGGGATTACAGGCATGTACCACTTGGACCAGTTTGGGATTGGCCAACAGCAGTGGTAAAATTTAAGTGTTTAGGGATCCAAAGAGACAAAGGGGAAGAAGAAACTCAAGGCTTATCAAATTAGCCACTCTAATTTTCATTTGGAATTAGCATTTCACTAGCCTAAAAATGACTCTACTGATGTTTACTATTTCCTGTAGGAACTTTTAATGCCAGTGTCCTTTGTTTTTCAACATTTTCATGGTTGTTTAAGGAGACAATAAATTAAATATGAAGGATTTACAGTTTAGTTGAATGAATTAAACCATTTCCTGGTGTTTGTGTTTACCTTGGGAGTCACAAAGGAGACAAAAATGTAGACTCACAGGAGGAAGGAAAGGAATGATCAAATCCCAATAGTTCCTAACTGAATGTCTAGCTCAGCAACTTTATTTAGAGGAAGAATTTAATGCTGATAAGAAACCCTTGCTTCCAATTAATTAGCTTTTCCTATATGCATATGTTCTACACACATTGAAAATTCCTAATAAACATACAACTTTATTAATCCTCACAGTTAATGTCTCATTCTATTATAGAAGACAAACTAAATCAAATGCAAAAATGTATACATTTTCTTAAGTTAAAACATACTTTATAATTTGTTTTAACTTTAATTGATTACTATTGTAAAATAATACAAAATCATTCTAGAAGAGCTACCACCAAAGATAATCATAGATAACATTTTAGTGTATTTGCTTCTAGTCTTTTCTATGCCAGCATGCGTCTGAAGTCAAGGTGTTTTCAAGGACAAGCCCATTCTGACACTTGTTGAATAAAACATCCTTGTCTCTTGCTACCCTCTGGTGGTTTCCCTCCAATCCATGGCATTCCTTGGCTTACAGATGTCACATCAGTTCCCATCTTTGTCCTTAGATGGCCATCTTATAAAGGATGCCAGTCATATTAGATTAGGGGCCCACTCTGCTTAGCGTACTTAAGTACATTTCAGCAACCCTATTTCCAAATCAGGTTACTTCAGAAGCATGGGGTGTGGGGGAATTAGAACTTCAAACATATCTTTTGTTATTGTTCTGGGGGGCACAACTCAACCCCTAATAATCAGTGTGGCCACCATCTGTTGTTCTAGGCAACCACTGCCTGACGACTTTTCTTGTTTCTTCCCGATTCATTCTCCATTCAGCATTAAGAATTTCCTAACTGATTGATCTGAGAGGACCAGTAGGCAGGTGAAAGCCTGGCTGGTTCTTTCGGGTCGAAATGGAGAAAGTTTACTCTGGGCATGTAAGGCTGGAGCCAAAGTGGGAGAATCAGAACACAGTGATTACAGAAGAGATGGCTGGCTGCGGGGGATTCCTGAGGGCAAGGGCAAGGGCAAGGTGGACAGTGAGAATGTTTCTAAAAGCATCTGATGTTCATTCTGGTTGGAGGAGGGGGCGGGGCGGGAGGGATGATTTATAGGAAAGCTAAACAGGAGGTTTGAATCCTCTTTGCCTTTGAGATGGGCCAAATGCCACACTTAAAAGGAGGAATTTTGGTAAAAATTTGAAGTCTTCCAGACCTCTCTGCAGGGACTTGCATATATTTTGCTCTTAGTAGATAAGAAGTACATACTAAAGAAACAGATCTAATATGCATACGAAATAAATGCAGTTTTCAACACTGTTTCTCACACTTTGTACCCTCCCCCTAAGCAGCTCAGATTTTCTTATTCATTATTCATTATCAAGAAAGGTCTAGAAAATCTTTAAATCATGCTTCTATCATCCAATGATAATCCTCTAACCAATTACACTTCTGCATCATCTCTAACTCCAAAGGGAATTAACTTTCCACACTGCACCTGTGGCTTTGAGTTGTCACAAAGGCTCTGGAGGGTGCTTCCTGGAGAACTTAGCATAGCTGTGGTAAGAACAGTCTCCTTTCTCTCTCACTGTACTTCTATAGCTTTACCCCACAGCAGTCCCCCATATCTCACTTGCATGTTAGGATATCAGAGCAATCCAATTGAAAGCCAACAACTGAATAAGAAATTTGGTTTTATTAGGCAAACTTTCCTTTTCTGGGCAGAAACACAGAAGTCCAAATTCAGAGACAAAAGAGATTTAGGAATTACTTTAAGGGGAGTATGGTGTATCCTTGATTGTGTGTTGAGTACCTCACCAACTACAGTGTCTACATGTTTCTATTTCAATCACTTTTATGTTTTTTTTTTAAACTGTGGGTTTTTGGTTTTTTTTTCAGATATAGGTAGACCTTTCATAGAGATGTACAGTGAAATACCTAAAGTTGTATATATGAAGGAAGGAAGGCAGCTTGTCATTCCCTGCCGGGTTACGTCGCCTAACATCACTGTTACCCTAAAAAAGGTAAAACTGGGCAATGCTACTCTCAAGAGTGTTTTTATTGCAAATGAGTATAATAAAGTTTTAATCACTTTCTCTCTCTGAAACAATTTTCTTAGATATTTGGGCTTCTCAGTGGACTTATCTATAGTATCCTTTTACTACAAAATACTATTAGTTTATACCTGTACATGCTTTTAATTTTTAAGTAGGATAAAATAATAATTTCTTAAGCACAAATCTACATAAATAATGAAAGAACTAAAATCATGGAGCTTTTAATATACATTCGTAAGTCCAAATGTATGCAAATGTGAGAAAAGCCAATTCTATTGCTTGTACAAATTAATGACTTGCCAGTGGTTCATCAAGATCAATGCTGAAGACAGACTGTCAGCAGGGTGCCTAATTCTCCAGGCAGTGACATGCTCTTGCTTCATGCCATGAAGCCATCACCACATTTGGTTTAAAGTTGAGGAGTTCCTGGTGACCAAAAGAAAAGCTTACCTCATGCTGGGTACCCAAATTTAGCCTTTTATTAAAAAAAAAGGGGGGGGGGAATCCATCCATGGGACTTTTCTTTATATTATGCTGAAAGCTGTAAAAGAGATTTAGAGTGGAATCCAGTAAAGACAAGCTTCAATGTGACATTCTAGCTAATTCATCAGTAATTAGAATTAGGAGTATACTAGAACTATGGACTGGATAAAAACTCCCCAAATGAAAGCTGTACCAAATCCTGAAAGCTTAGAGCTTTTAAGATTAAACCCCCAATGCAGCAACTCACATTGTTCACCACATAGCAGGTACTCCAAAAGTGTTTGGTGGTAGTGGTGGGGAAGTTGAAAGTATTCAAGTTGTGAGTCTCGTATCACCTATTAACGCTGAGTCCTGAAGTGTGATGAGGTATCTCCTTGACTTTCTTATATTCCTAACTCAACTTAAGCCCTCAATGTAGTCCATCAAAGTCAGATTTTGGCCTCCATTATATCTGTGTCCCATTGCCAGTAAATATAAAAATCACTGGATATCACACCAGAGAAGTCTAACTCCTCAACTGATCTAGAAAATATTGGGGACTACTGGCCATACTAAGCATTACAGCCAAAATTCTGACTTCCCATTTAGGTATCCCTGCCCAGAAATTTCTTGAGGCTGCCATCTCCCTGTCTACTTGTGTGTCTCATATGACATCCACCCTTCCTACGTAATGGTTTAGTTTGCATAAGAGAAAGGAGAACTAGAGCTACTCAGAGCAGAGGCTGGTGCCACACTACCACTAACCTACTGGCCAACCAAATGACCCAACCTCTGTCCACCTCAGTAACCCCATTTGATGGGTGGGGTGATTACAGTGGTACTGCCTTGCAGGTTGTTAGGAAGACCAAATAAGGCAATATATGGAAAGTATTTAGACCAGTGTCTGACACAAGACATGCCCAATTAAAGGGTCCGCTGCTAGTATTGTTTATTTTTAATTTTAATATTCAATACTTGATTTATTACCAAGTCATGTTTTCAGCTGCATGGCATTACACCTCTTGGTCTAAGATAATAATTGCTACATGATCAACATGTAGGAGAAAACCATGGGGAGCCACGCATGATGGCACCTGCCTATAATCCCAGCAACTAAGAGGCTGAGGCAAGAGGACTGCAAGTTGGAGGCCACCCTGGGCAATTTGGTTACAGGAATAGGGAAACTTTGCTCTTTCATTCAGACCCTAATGGAGATGGGTTTCCTGTCACAGGTAGAGCAAAACTAAGTTATTTACTCTGTTTTACTACCTAAGATCTATTATGCACAATTTTTTAAAAATTGAGGGAGACAGAAAAGGATAAAATTCTAACCAATTTTGGTTTGGCATATGCTAAACACAGAAAATATTCTAACTTATTACATATCTATGCTGATGTAAAATTAACATCTTTTCCTTCTGTTTCTCTTATCACCTCTTTTCTTCTAATTCACTGCCCCCTACTTCCCTGTGAACCACTGTTAGGTAGAAGCAGGTAGCCCTGCCCAGAAATTTCTTGAGGTTGCCATCTGCCTGTCTACTTGTGTGTCTCATGACATGCAGCAATGACCAGAGCTGATGGGCTGCGCAATCAATTACTGTTTTCCCTCTTGTCAGCAGAAAACAGTTACTTTCTCAGTGGAATAATATTAGTGGAGGCAACAATATGAAAAACTTTAAAAGAAATGTTAATATATTTTTAAGTTATACTGAGGAAATCCATCAGCAAACCTTTCTTAGATTCAGCACATACTTATTTTCACTTATTTTAAAAGTATCATAGATTTAAATTCTGAGTTTTCTTCCCCTTGTTTGTGCCAAATTAGAATACAAGGTCCTTTCCCCCACTGAATGTAGAGCATTCTTAAGCTAACAGGTAGAATCTTGATTTTCTAGAACATGAAAGGAATTTTTCAATTGATTTCAGTTCTTCATAAACAGGATGTAATTAACTATAAGCAACATTGACAACAAATACCAATGTAGATACATATACTGGAAGAGAGAGACACAAATGACTTCTGGACTAGAAATTTCTTCCATTGGATCACAAGTCCAGATTCACAGCTTCAACAAGCAACATAAATACTTGATAAGGGGAGAGAGAGGGGGATGTCAGATATGCCATTTGAGAGGAGACAGAAAAGATTTCAAACATCTTTATGGAAGTTATTAGATATTTCCTTCATAGTCTGTTGGGAGAAGGTAATCTGATTTTTTCCACTTTGCCAAACTGGGGACAAGTAATCATGGTAGTATATACCTCTAAAATTGGGCTGGCAACTTGGCATCTAAGGAATTTGGCTAGCCAGCCTATGGAGCAATGACCCCATTCTCCCTGCTGGAGTGTTTAATTTAAATATTAAGTCTTGGAGTCTGGGAGTATTGTTCAGAGCAGAGCACCTACGTAACATACTCAAATTCCAGGTTCGATCCTCAGGACCACACACACATAAAACTCCTGTATATTGTAAGAAGGCTTGAGAATACTACTAAGAACTTGAGGTCACTCCATTTGTAATGGTTTCCCTGGCCTTCAGAGGCCATCCTCACTGTCAGTGGCTTCCCCTCTCAGAGGAAGAATTGACACCTCCTTGTGATGCAGCAGGACTCTCAGACTAACCCCAGCCAGTATAGCGTTAATTTACAAATCTTGGAGGATCTAGAACTATTAATAGTCCCTTTAGAGACAGCCATGTAAAATGGGAGAACAAAGTTATGACTTATGAAAAGATGAGAATAGCTCAGCAGCCCATTGAAAAATGCTAATTGGTTTCTCTGTTGAGTACAAAGCCAGTTTACTATCAAGATTCCCAGAGGCCAGAGAGTATGGTATGGGCTCCCATCAAAAGTCTGACATGACAGCGAGTTCTATCCTGGGTGGATGCAGGTTTTTGCCAAGTCTGAGAATATATTACCATTAATTACTATAATGTATCATAATACAAATGTATCTTGATGTATGAAAAAAAAAAAAAACACTAAAGAACCAACAAACAATCCAGAATTTTTACCTGTACTGTTTTTTCATTTTGGATGAAAATTATGTTTCCACTTACAGCCAAAGAAAATTTTGCCACAGTGCCAATGTGATTTTTTTTTAAGCATGTTTCTTCCTTTTCAGTTTCCATTTGATACTCTGATCCCTGATGGAAAAAGAATAACTTGGGACAGTAGGAAGGGCTTTATAATATCAAATGCAACATACAGAGAAATAGGGCTTCTGACCTGTGAAGCAACAGTCAATGGACATATGTATAAAACAAACTATCTCACACATCGGCAAAGTAAGTGATGCTCCAGGGGCATGAAACGTGAGCCAGAATGTTCTGTGGCTTCTCTGCCTAATGAAATCTTGATTTTTTAAAAACCTGTCTCTTCTGTTTTCAGCCAATACAATCACAGATGTCCAAATAAGCACACCAAGCCCAGTGAAATTACTTAGTGGTCACACCCTCACCCTCAACTGTACTGCTACCACTGCACTGAACACAAGAGTTCAAATGACCTGGAGTTACCCTGATAAAGTGAGTAACCCATTTCTTTATTTCTTCTACTGCACACTATTCATTTTTACCAAGTAAAACCCCACTGGGTTTTTGAGGTGAGAAAATTCTGACTCCTGTGGCAGTTGTTGGTCAATAAAGAAGCTTTGAGCTTGGACTGGGTGCTTTCCTTGCCTGGCATTCATCAGTGTGTTGTGCATAGATACCGTCTTTTGATGTCTAGGGGTTTGTTTTGAAGTGTGTTGGGTGCTGTTCCTATTGCATGTTTCTGGGTGGAAAAGGGGATTGTTTTGTCCCTGGAAACAATTCTTTAGGATTTAAAGATGAGAGAGGAATTTATCACTAAATGCCAGGCAGGGACTGTCTTTTGTAATGACAACAACAACTTTCTGGAGGCTGTTTTTGTCAGCACATTCATTTAAGGTACTGGCAGACATTCAGGCACCTGATTACAGCATGTTTGGAAAAGATACTACAACCCAGTCATCCAATATTCCATTTGTTAAGTGTCAAAGGAGCAATTCTGTCCTTCAGAAAAATGAGAAGAACGAAGCTTGAGCCTGGATCCCTTATTCAAATATAATATCCTTTCAGATAGCAATTCTTTAAAAAAAATGTGTAGATGGAAAAAGATGATAAACTGTTCAGAGAATTCTGACAGTAGTTTCCAGCCCCCAAACTGCGTATGACTTATGTGGCATATCCCAAGTATGATCATTTCTTATGTCATTCAGATTACCCAATCACAAAGCTAATTTATGATAAATTATGTATAAAAGATTAATGCATCATCCCCAAGCGATTGTTGTTTCCCATAAATATTTCTTGCCATGGAAATGGAATCATTCAGCATCAAGATGCAATAAGCACCCTATAGGGATACAGGGACTTAGGAGTCATAAACTATTTTCTAGAAAATAATATTGTTTCATTTAAATTAAAATACTATGACTTGTAGCAAGATTTTATGGGTTTTGATAAAAATCAAATATTCTCAATAAATGCCAAGAGGGAAGAAACTTTTTTATCTTGGTAGTGTTGCTGATTTAATTTAAGAGTATTGATAGTACTTCCATTGAATGCCAGAAATCTAAAATGGTATTGTCCAATGGAATTTTCTGTGGTGGAAATATATTATACCTATGCTGACCAATAAAGTAACCACTAGCCACATATGACTAATGAATACTTACAGTGTGGCTAGGTGAACTTAAGAAGTGAATTTTAATTTTTATTAATTTTAATTTAAATAGCCATGTGTGACTGGTGGCTGCAGTACTGGACAAAGCAATTCCAAAACACAGGATGAACTGTTCTCCAAGGCAGAAACAATACCAATGTTATTCAAACTTGGAAAGAAAAGAATTCTCAAGCAAGCAGTAAAGCCTATGCAAACAGGCTGCAGCAGAGACTCCTCAGACTGTTAGGTTAGGAGACTAACTACTGACCTTTGATAGTGGTGACTGACTTTTCTCTCTGGTTACTATTGAGAATAAAGAAAATGGCCTGAACATGTCTGTGCCAACAGACATGAAATAAAAAGGCAGGTGAGTCGAAGTTTATTAAACAAGGCAAAGAGAAATGCTAGGCTCAAGATCCAAAGATCAGTCTGATTGGTTTTCAAAGTCTTTTTTTCCATGACCCACCCCAACCCCTACAGGAAAATGTTGATAAGAGGAAATTATATATTATGTATTTGAAAATGAAAAGGAGAAGGCACTGTGATCTTGTCTTCTCAAAACAGTGAGCAGGTCATTGCCACCAGTTTAGACTACTGTGCCTCAAGGGCTTCTTTTGGTCTTCCCTGAGATAAATGTGGGACAACACCCTCCAAATGCTGGCCAAACTTGCTTGTCCCAGTTCCATTTGCCAAGATTTTGCAGGAATTGGCAAGCAATTCTCACGAAGTGAAATAATGAAACAAGGAGTATTTTACCTTAGTAAAATACTATGTAGAACTTAGTTCTTTTCATTTCCAGTAGTAGCAAAGGAAACTTATGTAGTGATTTATTAAGAGAAACACTGTCATTAAGCCAGGTACTAAAGATAATTATTGCTCACATCTTTATGTTCCAGAGAACAGGTTACTGTTTAGAGAGGTATGTGTCCTGGAGTAAAAATACTAGATTTGTGCTCAAAAGTTCTGAGTTTCTGGCATACTTTAGCCAATGTCTCTGTGGTTTCAGTTTCTTCATGGGTAAAAGAGGCAATGATTCTGCCCATGTCACAGGGGTTGTATAAAATAACTGAGATGATACATGTGAAAGTCAATTTGAAAAATTTAAGTGCCAAATGAAGGCTGGTATGCTACATAATTGAAACACATCTAGACAGATGTAGTTTCCAAACATCTTGCTCTAGGTGGATATGGTATCCTTCTCAGAAGAAAAAAGAAGCACCTGTCAAAATAATGAACTGGGAACTGTCAAAATGCTATTACTTTAAGCATGAACAGTTACTACATATACCTTTGTTATATGTTTTCTTTCTATAGACAACTAAGAGAGCTTCTGTAAGGCAACGAATTGACCAAAGCAATTCCCATGCAAATGTGTTCTACAGTGTTCTTATTATTCACAAAGTGCAAAACAAAGACAAAGGACTTTATACTTGTCATGTGAAGAGTGGACCATCATTCAAATCTGTTAACACCTCAGTGCATATATTTGGTAAGCAATAATTCAGCATTGCCAACTCAAGTTATGCTTTCTAATCATTGTGGACTTCGAGTTCTTTAAAGGAATAAACGTTCTTTTGGCTAAGTGTCACAGTACCACAAATGAATACAACTTTGCCACAGTTTCTTCCACCCCACTGCCAAAAAGCAAATCACATTAAGTGCTCTTTAAATTTAATAATTTTGAATTGGACAAAGATTCTTTTCTTTGGAAGCTCATAATAGTTAATACCCAGATCATAAAATATTTATGAAATTCTTCATTTAGTGTTCCATATAAACAAAACAGGAAATGGTCAGCTTTACATTTCTTATCTGGGAAAATTTTCTCAAGTACTTCCATGAAATAAGGAATTAAAGGAGAAGGCACTGTGATCTTGTCTTCTCAAAGCAGTGAGGCTTGATACATTTTTTGATAAATAAACATTAGGCTTGATACATTTTTTAGAATTAGTGCTATTTTATGCCTGGTTTTATTATCATGAAATCCTAAATTTGTTGCTTAATTCCACTATGAAAATTCTGTAGAGAAAGTGCTTAAAAACCAATTTCCATCCATTGTTGAAAAGGAAAACAGTGCGAAGAACAAAAACTATGGAACAATTCTATCAAAAGCCATTTATATCCTTTTGGCTTTCTCGGTTATTTTAAAGGCCAAAGAAACTTTCTCCCATCTAACTCATATTTGCTGAGAAGATTTTTTTAGAAATATTGCCCACTTTTTTGTTACTACGATACAGATGTTTCAGATGTTTCCTGTCGCTCTGACACTGTTTTATGTCTATAGGATTTTCCACCGTTTCATTTGAAAGTATTTCATCAACTAAGGTGCTTTTAACATAGTTTATTCATTGAGCAACCACTGGGTTCACTGATTGGTGCCATCATAACTCAGCTCTCTTTAGCTTTTTATTGACTGCACCCTCCCTTAATGTTCAGGAAGGTTTTTATTACTTTCTAATGTACTTATCACTTCTCCTTTCCAAGAAAAAGCATTCATCACTGTGAAACATCGGAAACAACAGGTGCATGAAACCATAGCAGGCAAGCGGTCCTACAGGCTCTCCATGAAAGTGAAGGCATTTCCCTCACCAGAAGTTGTATGGTAGGACCATAACCATTTTCATATCAGTTTAAGACATATTTTGCAAGTAAGAAGATTCAAAAGCCCAATAACTTAAATTCCTGAAAGAAGTATCCAGAGAAAATTCTTGGGCAATGCTGGAGAGTAGAAGCTGTGTTGACTTGTGGGTGGTGGAGGGGTGGAGGACTGAAGGGGAGGGAAGAAATGCATCACGATGAAACAGGAGATGGGGGCGGGGTTATTGCTCATTTCAGCTGAGATAGTCCCTCACTGACACCAAATTTCTTCATCTCGAACCTTCCTGTGATGTCAACACTCTTTGAATGGGATGTGTTGGGCAACAACTAGGAAGCATCTTGAATGTGTAACATGCTCTATTAACTCTGAAGAAGTGGGCCCTTGTAATGAGGATGCTGAAAATAATTCTTTTATATACAGCTGGGTTGAAAGTACCAGTCTTGTTTTAGAATTAAAACAAACATTAATAGAGACAAGACATTCATTTGCAGGAGTGAGCAAATGGATTTACTTTGAAAGTTGCATATTCAGAAATTACTTAAACAGTTTTTTGTTGTTGTTAATCCTAGTACAACACTTGTTGTAAAACAGTGTGATCTATTTATAATCTGCATTTTTGGTAAATTACTTTTAAACACTAATATATTTGGTTTGTCATTACACTTTAAACAAAGGGTAAGGTATAAAGCTGATTAGGATAACAATCCATGCAATATAGAAATGGTAGCATTTTGGAATTTCCTCAACCAGAGCTAAATTACTTGGCTTTCAATATCACAGGAGTGATATATTTGTTTTCTATTTCCTTGAATATTTCATAGGGAATTTAAAAAAAAACTTTGTGTTATTTTTCTATTGCAATGGCATGAATACATAACTTTTTTGTTGTTTCATAATATCTTAAAAGGGTTAACAGTTAATCATTAAATTTTCTAGTAATTTAGAGACCAGAAGATACACCAATGCCTGAGTGTCACCTTATCTGTTCGTGCTAACTTTTTCAGTAACTAAGTAGCAAGGGCCTAAAAATAGTTCAACCCATCTTCAAAAGTACCAACCTAATGATTAGAAATAAAGCAATTCTAAAATGACCCTATAATCACAAAGTATAACTGTCATTTTAATTGCTTTGGAACTGAGCCCCACCAATAATGGGGATTTGTTTGCAAGACTGTGTAATACCAGCATGATTATAAACTGATACCATTTCCAATATTATATCTTTTTTACAGAACACAATAAACTCCTCACAGATTAAAAATGCCCACTTAAAGAACTATGCATTTAAATGAAATCCCAAAATTTTAGAGTTTTTAAAAGGGATCTCTGAAAATCACTAGAAAATCTGAAGACACTAGGCTCAACCTCTGGTCTTACAGTGTATAGTTTGCAGCAGAGCCAGGCCTGCATCCAGACCTCCTGACTTACGTCTCTACATGTAACTAGATGACATCAAGTCATTGATTCTATATTTAAAATGTTTTAAAATTCCTTTTAAGTTTATAGTTTGTTTGTTTTGTGTCTTAATAGTTCTTCCTCAGGGGAAAATACCTTGATTTCACTATAGTTTTGCTATGAAAGGGACAACTGGTGTGCCCATTTATATAGCTAATAAGAACTCCACATGAGATCACAATAGGAACGTCTATTTTTATTTTTATCTGGAGAAGTGATCTAGTTGATCTAACTTACAATGGCTCTTGTACTACTCATGGAACCTTAAGGAAAACTCTGAAAAACAAAAGCTCTGAAAAACATCTCAGATGGAATCAGAGCCTGTACCTCTGTGTTAATACTTAAATTCAAGATGGCCACCAGCATCCCTGTGGGTTCATTAAGCCACCACTTTTCTTTCTACCTTGGTTCGCTTTTTGCTCTTTGCCAATCCATATCAAGTAGTACCCAATCTATAAACAATACCTGCCTTTACTGCAATGTTGGTGAATAAATTTTTAGACCAATGTTGATAAGTCAAGGCTTGAAACTGACCAACTTGAGCTTATATACTGAAATGGCCATATTATCAAAGTGATATCAGAGAGGCTTATGAAGTGACTTACTGATCATGTTTTAACCACAGGCTAAAAGATGGGTCACCTGCAACGGAGATATCTGCTCGCTATTTGGTTCATGGCTATTCTTTAATTATCAAAGACGTAACTGCAGAGGATGCAGGGGATTATACAATCTTGCTGGGCATAAGGCAGTCAAATGTGTTTAAAAACCTCACTGCCACTCTAATTGTAAATGGTAAGTTTACAGTTTGTACATTCTTTGGGTCCTGATAAGGGGAAAATTAATGAAGATTTATCCAATTCAAAAGTCATTATAATAATGCCAAAAAAAACTTAAAATTTAATTAATTTTTGCAGTATATGGGGTTGAACCCAGGGCCTTGCACAAACTAGGCAAGAGCTCTACTGCTGAGCTAAATTCCCAGCCCTTTACATTTTATTTTTAGATAGGGTTTCAGTAAGTTGCCCAGCTTGGCCCTAGAACTTGCAATCCTCCTGCCTCAGCCTCCCAAGTAGCTGGGACTACAGGTGTGCAACACTGCACCTGGCTCAAATTTTTAAATAGTTGTTTTAAAAAACACTTCTGTACCTCTCAATTATTTCTTGTTTGCTTATCTTCCATAGGCAACATGATTTTTATAACTATAATCATAGTGTATATACCTTAGAATCAAATTATTAATGTTCTCAAACTACTTCCACTTTTTAAAAATAGACGTTTTCTTGACAGATATGAGGGCTTGTAATGTTTTTGTTTCCCTGATGTTAAAACCAGTGAGACTGCAGTCCCTTATGTAAGGTCCAGAAGAAAGTCATCAGAACAGTTCTTGACTTCTGTCCTTTTCTTCATCTCCTTTCCAGTGAAACCCCAGATTTACGAAAAGGCAGTGTCATCATTTCCAGACCCAACTCTCTACCCACTGGGCAGCAGACAAATCCTGACTTGTACCGCGTATGGAATCCCTCAACCTGTAATCACATGGTCCTGGAGCCCCTGTAACCATAATCATTCCAAAGCAAGGTAGGGACAGTTCATTTCTTAACTAGCTTTTAAATACTTTTTGCCACCTCAAATTAAGGTTAATGGATACAGTTAGGAGTTTACAGAGGAAACGTGCAGTGTATTTAAGGCAAAGGCTCTCCTTGCCTTGGAAACAGGTAGGCAAGAGCTACTCCTCTTCCTTACTTTAAGTAGTTGATTTTATGTGGTGCTAGGGATGGAACTCAGGCCTCAGGCATGCTAGGCAAACTCCCTACCACTGAGCTACACTTCCAGCCTTCTCTTTCCTACTAAACATACCTCAGCACTGGTTCATTCTTACACACGTTTCTCTAGAGTGTATAGTTAAGGAACACAGGGATATAACTAAGGTCACTTATGAGCTGTCATTTGCTCAAGTTATAACCTCAGCCCTCTTGTTTCCCAGCTGAGGATCCCCAGACATCAGCTACCCCACTGTGTCAGTTATACTGGTCTTCCCACTTTTCATTTTATCTTCATTGGACACCATTCAAGATCTTTCCAACACTGATGATCAACTGTTTCTTACTTTGGAACTTCAGTCATGCTTTTCCATCTATCTGAAATGTACCTCTACCCACTGTCTGCCTCATAAGAAGTCCTTCTTTATCAAACCCCAAGGCTCAGCTCTTATATCACCTTCTCTGTGAACCCACCCAACTGCCTCATTTCTCCCTGAACAGTATGAAAAGCACTTTATTCACACCATTGCAAAATCAACTGATATGCACATGTTTCTCTTCCTCTGAGCTATGAATTAACTGCCCTGTATCTTTAGGGAGTGTCTGATACACAGTAGATGCTCAATGTGTATCTGCTGAATGAATACACCCCTACCCTCTGTGGACGTGCAGCATTTCCTTGCATCCTGTTGATGACTGAACCCCATTTGCTTTTTCCCATTTTTGTTTAGTCTGAAGGGATGATACCAATGATATAGTTCATGAGCGTTCATTTGAAAAACAGGAATAGAATTGATAGGTGCAACAATAAGGTATTATTGAAACTGCCCAAGAATTATCATTATGCCAAAATATTTTCTTTATTGCTTTTAACTCCACTTGCAGAGTGGGAAGACTGCTGTTTTAAAAAGAAAATTAGCTTGATAAAAAGTAAACTAGGCATAATTTTAGCATAAACAGATAGAAGAGGCTATTTAACTTTCTAGATTCTTCCCGCAACTCCCAACTCTTCATTTTGTGTCTTAATCCTTTGTTTAGGGCGTAGCAATAGTGGAAAATTACTAGTGAGTTACGGAATTCCTGAGAAGTAGCTATTTCCACACATATCTGATTTCTCATTTGAGTGTCATTTTCTAAAAAGAGAAGTATAGAGAACTTGAAAGTCTTTAATACCCTCTTTACCACTATAGATATTTCACTCAAAATACAGTGAGATCTGATAAGACCTTGTATTATTTTGCTAAGTGAAGGTAGGAACCCCTATTTATAGACTCTTTCTCATAATGCTTTGATATATGTGCTGACCTAACATGCAAATACATTTAAAATAACTAAAAACTTGACGTTAATAGGATAAAAGTATATAGTTGAATTTTTATGGAATAACAGTCTTTTATAGATATTTTAATTTTTTGTTTTAGAATTGAAAATTTAAATTTAATATCAATTGAATTTTAGTTGCAACTATTAAAAAATAACAAGGAGTGACATAAGTAATTTGAGGTTGCATGATGCTGATAAATTATGATTTGGAGAATGATAGGAGCTGAAGTAAAACTTTGTGAAAATTAGCACTCTTTTTAATTTCTTTGTGGTATATGGGATTTTTCCTCCTGTTTCATGGAATACTACTCACCAAGGCCTGAGAAGACATCTTATTCCTTTTAGAATTCTTCCAAGACTCAGAGCATAGCCTTAAATATTTGTTGGGCATTTGAATTATTCTATTAAAATCATTCACTTTTTGCTACTCACAGGACAGATCAGAAATGAAACCTTTAAGTGTTTTCATGCTGGAGATAATTCATTTCTTCAATATGTTGTTGTTTCAAATTATCTGCCAAAACTGTGCACATCCAGAAGCAGCTTTTATTCTTTAGTGAGTGTATACCAATGGAACAGCTTACCTGCACAGGCCCAGGTTTGGTGCTGGGTGGTCAAATTAGTGTACTTAGAAATATTTCTGAAATGTATACAAGATCATTGTACCCTAGGAAACTAATAAAACAACTCTATTTCACCCTGTCAGAAAGATAAAAACTAACATTTATAGATAAATGAAGCCCTCTTTAATTACTAAAATTTCTCAACTATGTCTTTATATAAATGTTTTTATATACTAGATTAACTTAGGAATTTTCATTACTGACATAAAAAAGGAATGTTCTGTAACACTTTTGAGTTGTATAGTAATATATCTGCATAGTGATACATATGGTTGATCTTCAAAGGAGATTGAGCAACTAATGCTTATACATTGCTCATAAATATGTAGACTGATTCTTAGTGTTAAAATTTGAGAGTCAACCAGGTGTAGTGGCACACACCTGTAACCTCAGTAACTCAGGAGGCTGAGGCAGGAGGATTACAAAGTTGAGGCCAGCCTCAGCAACTCAGCAAAGCCCTAAACAACTTATAGAGATCCTGTCTCAAAATTTTAAAAAAAAAAAAAAAAAAATGGCTAGGGATGTGGTTCAGTGCTAAAAGTCCTCTGGGTTCAATCCCAAGTACCAATAAATTAACTTGAGACTCCAGTTAAAGGGCAACTCTATATATTGCCACAGGTTTTTTGTTTTTATTTAGTTGGTTTTCTTAGTACTAGGGATTGAACCCAGGGATTGATGAATGCTAGGCAAATGCTAGGCAAGTGCTCTACCATTGAACTCTATCCCCATCCCTATTTTTTTTTTTTTTTTTTAACTTTGAGACAGGGTCTTACTAAATTGCCCAGGCTGGCTTTGAACTCATCATCCTCCTCCTATTTCAGCCTCCCAAATAGCTGGGATTATAGGCAGGTACCACAGTACCATAGCAGTTTAATTTTTGAGGACACATTATATTTATTTTAAATAGCCCAAAATTAATTGACTTAACATGGTCAGCTACTTTACGTATTTAGGTTTTAAAAAAAAGGACCAAATTTAGATTATCTTTCCTGGAGTCTGATAAATATGTAAATGTATTTAAAATTATCAGAACTATTGCTCAACTAGAAATTTCCTCCTTTTTAAAAAGAAGTAGTAAAATGTTTTATGTAAATGACTTGTTTTAATGAAGTAATACTGTGGTTTTGCCTACAATTCATTCTTACACAATATGTATAAGAAGCTATGATGTGGTGTTGCTTGGTAGAGTGACTATAGATAACAATTATGTACTGAATATCTCATCAGAAAGGATATTGAAAGTTTTCCCCATGAAATGATAAGTTATTGAGGAGACAGGTATGCTTATCCTGATTTAAACATTCCACAATGCACACATATTTCAAAACATCATATAGTATGCCAGTGTTATATATAATTTATAGATTTTTATGTATCAAGTTTTCAAAAGCCATTAGGAATAAAAGGGAGAAAAAGATGGTTATTTTAAATTCACACAGCTAACGAACCAAGAAGAAATAAACTGTACTCTTTCTGTGATTTTTACGTTTCTGTGTATTTGGGTGTTAAGTTGGTAAGAGAACTAGGAAATTTCTTTTAAATGTTTACTGATATTAAAATAGGTTACCAAGACTGAATGAGGAGTTTGGGGATTTTTCTCATCTTAACAATTGGTAGAGAGCTCTAAATAAATCTGCTAAACCTGTTCCATGTTTATCATCCACAATGATGTTAAGTTTCTAGTAGCTCTCACATGTCTAATTCACAGCTTCTGCTCATATAAAATAATTAAACACTTCACAGAGAGAATATGAGGATAAAATGAGATGAAATAAGTGGGAAAATACACAGTGCTGTGGAAATGCAAGGTTGTACTGATTGCTACCATTGAGGGGAGTACATTTCTCTAAGACCCAAGATTTCTAAGTAACTTGGAAGGAAACTTCTGCCTGCTATGGAATTTCTTATGACAGTGAGAAACTATACCAAATATTTCTGAGAAATGAACAGAAATTGTGGAAGATAATATGCACTCTTTCTCAGCTTTGAAAATGGAAATCTAGTAGGTCTGAGGGGGAAAGGCCATAGAATTCTGGAAAATATAACTTAGGACTTTTTCAGAATTAGATAAAATTAAGGAACTATAAAAAAGTTAGGCAAAAGTAACAGGAAGAATAAATTGAAGGATGCAAAGGGAGAATGAAGTAACTCTCCCAGGTCACATGGCCTACCCCATTCATTAGTTTCCCAGTCATGGGAGGAAGTGATTCTGCCCTGCATAATGGCTAAGGCTGGGGTGGGGTAGAATGGGCCTGTGGAATAGCTGCCACCAGTTCAGCCAGCCCACATTTGATTTCTGGAACTTCACATATCCCCTGCATTTTGAAGAAACAAGTAAGACTACTAAGCTTCTGGGGGGGGTGGGGTGCTGGGGTTGTGGCTCAGTGGTAGAGCGCTTGCCTAGCCACGTGAAGCACTAGGCTCGATCCACATAAAAATAAGTAAAAGGTATTGTGTCCATCTACACCTGAAAAATTAAAAAAAGATTGCAAAAAATTTAAAAAAGGGCAAGGAGGTTATTAGTCTCTAAGGGAACTAGAGACAATGTAGGATTGGAGGATAGGGGAAGATATAGAAAGGGCAGACTTGGCATCATTTGTTTATACTCTAGTTTACCAGTTCTGGTTTTCTTAGGAAGAATCTAAGAGGCTGAAAGACTGCTTTTATTCTTGTATGTCAAGGAAACCCTCAGATAAATGACTAGAGGCTTCTGAGACTGAACAGGTCTTTGAGCTCACTTTCATCTAGTCATAGGATAAGGAGTAGTCTTCTGCTGGGTCATCTTACTGGCACTCTCCATTAGCTTAGGTCACCTCCCCATTAATGTCCAGAGCTACTGGTTGTTTCTGAATTGTCTTGTCACAGTTTTTAA